TTTCCACTAATGTTTTTTTTTATTTAATAAATGCATTTTTCCACTATTTCATTGGATTTAATCTCTATTTAATGGTACGATTCTTCAGATAATATTTACGAATGCATCAAATGTTCTCCACAGTCTCCTAATACCTAAACATATTCGCTCAGAAATTTGAATGTGTAAGCATTGTCCATGTCTCCAAACGTTCCTTGACCCCGGTACAGTGCCATTTCCGATTCGCCTTCATTTCATAATAAATGAAGGACAGAGATGTTCCTGTAAAGAACAGCCCAAATCAAAAAAGTGCGAGCTGAGGTTTACTTAAACGAAAGGAACAAGCCCTTCGATTACATTAGCTAACATATGTACTGTGATGGATGTTGGATATGCAGCAGCTGAGATGTTTATCCGAAGTGGTATTGATAACAATTTTGTGCTGCCCCTATTACGTCCTTTTTCTTTGCTCCTGTAGGGCCACTTTTATAACACTTGCAGCATTTTTTATTTGATGATTCTTGTGGATGTCCTTCATTGCCCAAACCCTTCTCCGCGCGCGGCTCAGGTCGTGTGTCGACGCGGTGGCTGCAGCAGCTGCGAAAGACGTCGTACGCCGCACCAGGGCTGAATGGAAGCTAGTTACGTCCCATTTTAAGCGCTTATGATTAATTACGTTACCGAACACCAATTATAAATTCTTTGTTTTTTCGCTTCCGAGCGCAGTTAACTGCCTTTGTCATTAGTCCTGTAGGTGAGAACGCATGGTTTATATCAGGAGTCGGCTGTTCTCCCGCTGGATAATGAGATCCGGCGCCGATTGCACATCGGTTTGCGTCTTGTTGTTTTTTTCCGTCCAGGAATCTCTCATTAGCGGCACACCGCACCAAGCCGGGACAAGCACTAAGCTTCCGGCTGTGCAGTGCGTGTTAAGTGAGAGTATAAGAAGGGACGAAAATTGAACAAGAGGAAGGTGTGACGTAGTGAAATGAGAAATAACTTCAATTAACAAAATAGAAAATATATATTAAAAGATTACAACAAGTTACAATAATTGCTAAATTTTAAACACTCCGGAACCTTTTCTTCCTGTACCCTGCTTTACCGCAGAAAAATAAAGCCAGCGGAGATGCGAGCTGTCGACTTCCGTCCGCGTGACAATTACCGTCACATGGCCTGACGCCAAAATTTAAACCGGTCGTGGCGACCGTGTGCCTACAGCACGCGAGTTCGGTCTGGCCCTTACTCTCCGGACATCTCGCCCACACTCCTACACTCCTTGTACTACACGTACAACGCTCTCCGATGTACACTGAATGAGAACGCGGCGCAGATGGCGCCGCGTTAAATAGTTGAGGGCTGACCCCCCACCACCACCACTGTTCCCTAGATAGGCTCGCTTGCTGTCGGCAAGCGAGGCTCGGCTGCTAGCATCTTAGGAGGGGGCTACACTCCTACACACAAGATTCCCAAGTTGGCTCGCCTGCTGTCGGTAAGCGAGGCTCGCTGGCTAGCATCCTAGGAGTTTACAGCCTAGGTTATTTTGGCTCTGCTACGCCTACCTGCTTCAACTGCAGAGCGCAAAATCCCGGAAGTTCAGGCTCAACCCCTTCCTCCCCCGCAGCGCACTTTCACCGACCTAACGTTCTGGCCCTCTGTTAACGACGCCAACAGCCACAAAGGAATGATCCCGCGCAGTTCTGGCCAGCATGATCGGGTACTGCTTCGCCATCACCTGGTACAACTGATCAGAGAAACCACCAAAAAATAGCATTCATGGCAGTCGGCCTCTAGAATTCTCCTCCAGAGAGAAGCTGAATTCGACTTCGCTAGTTAGTGTTGAAATCTAGCACCGTCGGGACTCGAACCCGAGGTCGTGTCGGTCCGAGGCCCTGCAGTGACATCAGTTGATGACCTAAGCCACATAAGCCGGTACAATGTAATAAGGATAAGGGCATTTCGCAATGAAAGCGATAAAGGAGATGTGATAACATACTTGTAACATAAATATGGATATACCATTCACAATGATCATGAGAATGAACGTAAACACTCATCGCCACCCATCGTCATCGATCCAATAAATACTCCATAAACGATTTCCGTACACAATCGAACGACATGAAGTAAAATGGATTCAATCACGCTTGGATGATAATTATTTGAAATTAATTTCATGGTAATGAGCGCCAAGAACAATTCTATTATTTATTTATTCATTAAGATTAACTTTGAACACGAGATTTCACTAACAAAAATCTCTCGAGTTGTGGAAATAAGAAAAAAAAATCAACTTCGGCATTTTTCATTATTTCACAAGCTCTCAATGAAAATAGGGCCTATGCCATATTATTAAGAAAAATGTGGTTTTTGAGCAAATATGTAAAGAAAATATTTGTACCCGTTTTGACAAACCTTGGTTATTATTTTTCTTTTATTGCGATTATTTCAAGTAAATTACGTGAAAACTTCTCACATAAAAATATATATGCCCTTGTAAATTTTAAAAACACATTTTATTTCAAAACAGCAACTCTGTCTTCAATATTTTAGTTGTAGGAAGACACCTAAAAATATTAACTTTTACAATTTTAGAAACTTTTTCTGCCCCTAGAGATAAATCATTAAAGGTACTTTTTGATCCACACATAGTTATTTTCACTCAGAAGAAAAAGAAACACGAAAATCGCGTAACTTAGAAGAGACGACACAAATGTGTTCAATACAAAAAAGACATACATTTGTAAGGTTATCATATTTATCAAATGACTTATTACATCATTAACTTTTCTCCCTCTTGCTTTTTGCAGCGGCGTTTGCTGCTACGATGCAACGATTCAAGGCGATAGACATCGTTGTTAACGGAGCTGGAGTTTTCGATGACTTACACTGGGAACGTGAAATCGATATCAGTCTGGTACGAAATACATAGTTCATTCGCCAAAGCGGCATCTAGTTTATATCGTATTCTTCTAATCACTTTGCCTTCATTTGTATTGGTCCTATTTAAAAACACAACCAAGGGCAAAAGGACAGAGGACAAAAACGTATTTGAAGCAGCTTCTGCATGTTAAATCATCATTAGATTGTGGATGAAATGCGATAAACATGGGTAAAGCTATAAGTTTTATTTCTGTTTCAAATTTCAAATTTTGGCCAAACTAATTGGGAATAGTCTTAAAGCAAAATAATCAATAAAACTGATAAGTAAAGGCAATTGGAAAACCCCATAAACATTTATGTAGTTCACTTTCAATGTTCTTAAATTGCGCGTAGACCCGAGACCATAAATGATTTTAGAATACGACTTTTCAGTAAAATTTTGCTCACACTTCATCTGTTTGGCTTCGTTATAGTATAATTTCATTCAAATTGGCCAGATTATATCGGCCATTTAGTCAATTTCTTTAACTAACGGTTCTACGCAGCAGCAAATAACATATTTTGGGCATTAAGCCTCCGATGCTATGTTGACATTTTTAGTTCCAAAGCGCAGAATTAATATCATAAAAAAATGATTAAGCCGATGTTCCAATCTCTAAAAATACACTCTCAACACAAACTTTCAGATGCTAAATATGGTCAAACATCTCAATAAATATTTCAACATTAATGTTTCCATCTGAACTTCGTTATTGAACTCACATTACAAATGTAATTATTCCCTGCGTGCAAAAGAATGTTTTAAAAATATTAACGGCCCAAGACATCAGCGATTGAAGTGTATAAATAGGCTAAAACAGGCAAAAAAGGAAGTGACGTGTCGTATAATTTAATTATAAAATTTAATGATTAGAGTATATTACATTATGCTGCGTGTCTTATATTTTCATATTACGAAGGATATAACTCCCCAGAGACAGAATTGCCACAAGATTTGCATTCCGACGTATTTGGAACCACTGAGCTTGAAACAGCTGAGAGGTTGAAGGCCAATATTCTCATGCGAGGGTTGCCAACTGTCTAATGATGACCTATGACCGTGGTCAGTTGCCAAGCTTGCTCCAGAAATATCTTACATCTCCGTTTTCATTTCCCTTCCACAACATTATGCTTGTAAACATACCGTCTGATATTTCAAATGCTCTGCACCACATCACGGTTCATCACTTTTTTCGCTACAAGAACTTCACCTAAACTTAAAAAAGTTTCCCATAAACTGCATTTTTAAAACAAACAAGTATTTTTCTATGAACCAGTAAGTCATACAGAAACCCTGTGTTCAATAGTTTCCTAGAATTGTTGATTGTAAAAAAAACAATAAATAATAAAAAGCAAAAATAAATTGCCAAAAATTGAAAGTTTAAAAAAATGGAATTAGATTACTTCATTTCAAATCTTGATTATGCTTGCACCGATATAAAAAAGAAATCATATACGTGAAATAAATTTAACTGGTTCAGTGCAGCAACTACTATTCTCACGGTCGCAGCCATTTGTTTCCGACAAACATTATGTTCTAACACTTGAGTACAGCGGTACTATTTTTACAATCCTTTTTTTGTTAAAACAAATACAATTGACCAATTTCGCAAGGGCCGTTGAACAACCACAAGATCTGCCGTTTACATTTACTCTAATCTACGTCCTCTGGCAAGTCGCCCATTTGTCTTCTCTGTGTAACGGATAGTTTGTTCTTCTTTCCGCAGAAAGGAGTCATTCGAGGCAGCCTGCTCGCCTGGAAGCATCTTGGTAAAGACGAGGGCGGCAGAGGCGGGGTCGTCCTCAACATCGCCTCTGTGCTGGGCATCGACCCCCTGCTCGTCGTCGTCGTCGGCTTCTCCAGGAGCCTCAGGGTACGTACCGACTTACACAATTCCAAATTGAGAGGACAGTCCAGCATGGGGAGGTAGTTTCCCTCAGTCCCGCATCTACACATTAAACGCAACTAAATGGCAAACAAAAGTACAGTGATAATCAATTCGGTGAATGAAACACTTCTATAAATCTCAATTAAAGTAATGGTCCAAAACGTAAACTCTCGTTTTTAATTACGGCACAATCGCATTTCCTACTTATGACTATCATTAAATTATCTGTACGTTATGCCACGAACATCAGTGCAAAGATTGATTAAACAGTTGACATATGCACAATGTTAGATTCACCAACCTTCCCTTCCTTCCGTGTTATTTAAGATCGCATCAACTTCTAGGCCATTAGCGACCACTATTGCGTGTAGCGGTATGGTAACTGTGAGGATGACACGTTATGATGAGGATGATGCTGATGATACTGATGATGCTGATGATGATAAGGGGTGGAAGAACGAACACAATACAACCATGCCCGAGGAGGGACTCGAACCCGCGATCCTTCGGTTCTATGGCATTATTGCCTTAGCGATATCGGCCACTGGATTGGCCCCTTCTTTCTTTCAAAACAATAATGGCAATCAGAGAAATTGAGCTAGCCTTATTAAAAAGCATAACCATATCGCAGGCGAAGAAATGTAACAATGAAAGAGAAGGATGGTATATCTTTCTTGAATTTTAAACGAAGGATAAATCTTTATTTATGAGCTAAAACCTACACTACAGCAACACAATTTTCTCATTAACCAATGTCACTCTTTTTTCGTTTTTTAAAATTAAAATGCATATCCATGATTCAATTTCATCAAGGCCTCTTTCACATTTGATCCTATTCTTTTCCGACCTATTCTTTGACGACCGTCTGCTTGAGTTGTTCTTTGAAGATCTTCTGTTGATCACTGAATGAACCTTTCATGATTTCTTGACTTATCGGGAGATGCCGCTCCGTAGGCACAGGTGCAATTTTGCCCTGAGGGGCAATTTCGCACGCGGGCAGAAATGGTGGCCGAAACGTTGGCACCTGTGCCAAGGACGCTCTTATTTTCGCAGAAGCTCTTATTTTCATGAATACGTATACAGGTAAATTAACAAACAAGTAAATAAACCTTGAATGGGTAAAATAGCGAACGAATTGAATAATTAATAGTTAATTGAAAAACAACTGAGAATGAATAAATGCATACATGGGCAAAGCTAATTTTGACTAGTAATCGAGAAAAGTATTGAGGCCACAAGCACTGGCAGAACAATGAGACCAACCCTAAAAATGCTGCAAATTTGCGGCAGGGCGCACTTTGCAGCACCGGAGCACAGGCGCGTTGCAGGCGCCGGAGCACGAAGGGCGGGC